TTTATCCAGATTTTTACCCAAACCTAAATTGTATGATTAAGCCCTTACATGATAGGCTTAAGAAAAATGTTGGCCCATGGACAGCCCAACATACACAGTTAGTAAAACAGATAAAGGCTTTAGTAACAGAAATCCCATATCTTTATATCCCTAATCCAACAGCATTTAAAATAGTTGAAACAGATGCTTCAAATATTGGATACGGTGGTGTCTTAAAACAAGTACTTAATGGTAAAGAACGTATAATTCAGTATACATCTGGTCATTGGAACACAACTCAATTAAATTACTCTACTATTAAAAAGGAGATATTAAGTATAGTAATTAGTAATTTTTATCATAAAATTTCAATGCTGATTTATAATATCCAAAAATTTTTACTTAGAATGATTGTTTAAAATCTGCAAAAGAGTTTGCAAAAAGATGTTAAAAACCTAAAAACCTTGCTTCTAAGCAAATCTTTGCTAGATGGCAAGCAGTTCTTAGTATATTTGAATTTGATATTGAATTTATTAAAGGTAATAATAATAATATTCCACACTTTCTAACTAGAGAATTCTTACAGAACGATGGGAAAGAAGAAGGATAAGGGGAAGAAACCCTTAAATGAACCCGATTCTCCCACTAAAGCTCTTTCTGAGCATTCCGAAGACCTTTGTAAAACCCTTACCAATAAACCAGACCCTACTAAAAACCTTCAACAATGGATTGAAGAACTTAGTAAATCTCCAGAAATTGTAAAGGCGCTTCAAAGTATAGCATCCTCTTCCACAAAGGACCCAGGTATGAGTTCTCAACCTAAAGCGATCGTATCCGCGATCGTATCCGCTCATGATACGGCTACTCCGTCTCAAACGGTAGACGGTAAAGAGTTATCAAACCCGTTAAAGGCTGTGGCTTTGCCAAAAAGCCAAATATCATTTACTTCCAGTATACATAAATGGTTCGTAAAAAATGTATATGATTATGAAATTGAAGTTGAGGATGGGTATACTGACATCAATCCTTGGCAAGTTATTCACAAATATTATCCTAAGCATTGGTATTTTGTGCCAACGGACCCTTCAAAACCTCAGGAATACTACCATAGTATTTTAGTAGATACTGGTTCAGTATAGAAACAGGATCTGTAAAAATTAAACATACTTTTGATAAAAATAAAACTATTTCTTATTCTTCTTTACAAATAAAACGCGTCATCCACCCTAAGGATTGGCCGTATCTTCTTTATCTACTCCCGTAAGATTTAAAACCTTATATAAACACTGTATGATTTATAATTATTTTGATTATAAAGATGCGTGGGATAAAGTTTTTAGTATTCAAAATCCAACTACTACGCATTCTTGGTTAATATATTTTGATCAAAGTATACGGACTGATTTAAAAATACCAAATTAGTTTAAAAGATTGTGGCAATTTAAAGGTATTTCTGAGGAAATTATTCCTCCGAATATCATTTCTTTATACCAGTACTTTAAAGCCCATTATAAACCTAAACCTGAAGAAGTTCATATTCCCTCTCTTATGTACTATTGTATAATGTATTGTTATAGGTATGACCTTCTTACACACCCAGGTATCTAGGGGAAAATAATTATTTACCAAGTTTGTTGACATCAGCATGCTTGCCTGGTTACTCAAATTCCAAATGATTAATAAAATGTCACAAGATAAAATAGGTGGGGCATCAAGTGCAAAAATCTTCCCATTACCCTATATCTGAAATCATGAAGATCTATGTAAATAATGGGCACAGCGTCTATCTATCCCTCTAAAATTATTAACTTATGCGTAAAACAACATTGCTCCATACCAGAAAAAACCCTGAATGTTTAGGGAGTATTCCAAAATGAGCGGTGAAGTGCCAAGCCAGTTAGCTAGTGCAGCACCCTACTCATGGAAACTATTAAATACCTGATCTGTAGAGAAGCATGTCTCCTCACAAGTTATGAGCATCTACCATTCACAATCCACAGATCAGAACACTTCATCCTAGCTAATCTTTCATAGCAGATTCCCTTCTCAAGATTCAAGATACCACGACCAAGATTCCTGTCATAAGCAAGGATAAAATCAATCAGTCGTCCTCGGATACCTCCAACCACTCTATTCGAAGATACTCATGATATCTCGTTAAAAATCAAATATGATAAGCTAAGCAAAAGAAGAAAAGAAAATTAATATAAATATATATATATATATAAAATCGAAGAGACAAGATTAAAAAGAAAAAGTAAGCAAAGGATAAATCGGTATATCTCACTCTTGGTCATCAAGACGCACATATAAACAAGGGCAGATGTGGGAACCTATAATTACACCAATCACCACCACTAAAAGGCAATATAACTCACTAGTGTCTTTACAGAAAAGCAAAGATGCATATTCGAACAGTAAACAGTCAAGACTTCGAAGTCCCCTAATTCAGATGGCAGACAAAATTCCACGTCAATCTCTACTATATATACAAGGTCTAAACACGTAGTTAAACCACTTAAGGTAGGTGTACGGAGACCAAGATGAACCCATTATTCAGACAATAATTATGAATAGGATGAAGATTCTGCTGTATGATTATACCTATTCCTCTTGTGAAGGCACGGAGAACTAACTTAGGAGTTCTCTACTTGGTAACCACTCAACTCACCCACGCATCTCCTTTCTCTTTCGTCAATTCTCTATAGGATTTCCATATTTCTGATATATACTAAGCAGTAACTTCGTAACTGATAAATGTAATGTTTTCTCAAGAAATGGATGTATAATTAAAATAAAATTGTTTCGTGTTTATATAACCTTAATATAAACTGTCTATCTCTCTATATCTCGTTACGGCACCTTTCTTCTTTCTCGCCTCCACACTCACTGACTAGTTCTTGGTATCCCAGCTAAGGTTGCAGGACCCTCAACTCCTTAATCTAAAATCACAAAAATCAATTTAGAATTTGTGAGCTATGACTATGGATAATTATATTAATTATTAAATTTGTTTCGATTGTGGTTGATTATAAGAATGCCCTGATGGGATCGAGCAAGTCCTAGTCTGCATCTCTCCACATCTATCAAATTTGTTTGCAGTTTTTATAAAATTGGAACTATCATAATATATCATAAGTATGAGCCATAACCTCAATTTGTATATAGTAGTAACTATACATATAATAGAGATATAGTAATATATATATAATATATATATATATTAAGTAATATATAAGTATTGTGGGCTTTATTGCTCTTTTATCTAATTGGAGAGGAAGGGATTTTAGATTTCAAGAGAGAAAAAACGAAGTTATAAGATAAAATTAAAAAACAATCTTGTGAGTGACTTGTATCTTGTGCATCAGAGATTAAGAAGCACAATATGACAAACCTGACGTATTTATATATCTCTCTTATGTATACAAGTCTTAAATCAGTTGTTCGTAAAAAGACGAATTAAAAAAAATAATATAGAGAACCTTTAAAAAAAATATTGTGGGGCTTTATTGCTCTTTTATCTTAATTGGGAGAGATTCTAGATTTCAAAGAGAAAATGGAGTAAAAAAAAAAAATCTTGTGTGGCTTTTATTGCATTCAATATTAAGAAGCACAATTATTTGACAATAACCGAGTTATATGCCGCATTAAAAGTAAATCAGTTTCGTAAAAAGTAAATTAAAAAAAAAAAAGGAAACCTTTAAACAAAAATAAAAAATGAAAAAATTTGGCATTTACTATTAAAAAAAAGTAAAGAATTAAAATTAGCTAAATGAATATAAAAAAAGGTAGACAAAAATTTATGCCTAATATTAAAACCACAAATAATGACACAAATTATTAGCTAATTTATTATCCTAAAATTATATCTAAAATTTATTTTTTACAAAATAATAACAAAAGAATTGTACACCACTCATCTTCTAATAACATAAAACCATAAAAAGAAAAAATAATGACTAATTATTATTACACTCATTAAAAAAAATTTATTTGAATGTGTTCAAAACTTTTCATTTACCATGATAACTTTTAAACTCTTCGTTTACCATAATAAAATTCTAACAAACAAAACAACAAATTATTAATTAAACATACATTTATTAACAAAAAATAAAATAATCTATTGTTATATGCTGCTATTTAAAAAAAAAAAAAAACCCCAATCTGCAGAGTTGTAGCTTAGTTAACATAACAAAGTAATCCAAATTAATCACCAATAATATGACAAAAACCCTTAGCCACTCCATTATGTATTTATAGTTAGAAATTGGGGTGAATAATACCATTTAACCTTTCTTTTTAGTTTCTTTTTAATTTATGGATCTATTATATTTCTATTTTTAAATCATTTTATGTGTTTTAAGTTTGAAAGACATCGGACATTATCAAGAAAAATGATTTTATATTTCAATAAAAAAATGAAACTTAATTGATTTCAGAGATGACTGAATTCACTATCAACTTAAGCAAAGAAATCCCTACAATTCAATTAATAGATGTTTATACTTTGATGGCTATGATTTTGCAATATAACATGTCATATTCATATTTACAAAATTATATACCTTCTATATTTAATAGAAAATTTCTTATACTTTAAAGAAACCTAAGCTACACATGATCATAGGTAAATCTTAGCTAAAAAAAATACTCAATATGTGTTGTGAACTATACAATAAACTAATGTTAGAATTATCTTCTTAATTTTTTCTTTTTTAAAACTCACACATTTCTTAGAAGGTACAATATCATTTTCTACATTTTGTATTTTTAAAATTTTACTAAAAACATATATCTTACGATTTAAATAAAAAAATATTTTTTGTACAACCGCACGAAGTGCAAGAGATCGCTTAGTATATATATAAAAGAGAATCAATGGGTCTTCTCTAACGTTAAGGTGATGCTTCCTTTAAAAAGTAAGATTGTATAGATTTTGAGCATTTGCTTCTATCTTATAAAAATTTAACACAACCTTTCTCCTTTTTACTTTATGATTCCTACTCATCTATGTCTCTTTGTTCCCCCCTCTTAAATAAAGCCAAACAAATATATTATTCCCTCTTCCATAATAAAATTGAGCCGCATCAAAAATAAAAACTCATTTCTTCTTTTTGCTCATACGATTGATCTCCCTTCTCCTTCTTTCTTGCTGTTGCATTGCCATCCGGCCGACTAACGTCCAAGGCTGTGTTTCTTTATCCTCTAGGTTCGACAGTAGAGAGAGAGAGAGAGAGAGAGAGAGAGAGAGAGAGAGAGAGAGAGAGAGAGAGAGAAGAGAGAGAGAGAAGAGAGAGAGAGAAGAGAGAGAGAGAGAGAGAGAGAGAGAGAGAGAGAGGTGGAAGTGGAGCGATGATTTTCGACCATGCCGAGTCATTTCTGGCAATTTCAATCAATAAGGTGAACTTTAATAATCTATTTATTGGTCCAACGGTCTATTACTTTCTATGTAGTCTTTGTTCTAATATTATTCTTGCAATGTAATGTGTTTCATTTTACAATTATTACTGCAATGCTTCTTCCAAAGTCAAAAAAGGAAAGAGGGTTGATGTGCAAAAGTTGTTTGGATATACAGAACTGTTAACACTTGAAGCTTTCTGATGGTTTGGTAGGAGATATTATTTGTTTAATTTTCTATTGATTAGGTGAAGTCTCGCAATGAATTAGATCTGGATCATGAATAATCATAATTTAGGAACTTAATGCAAGCTATTTTATCAAGACATAATCTACTTCTCTTTCTTTTTTTTCAATTTAATTTTTGGAACCCTTGGCCATATCACTAGATGGGGACTATGTCTCCATAACTCTAAGAAGGTTTTAGCGTACAAATGAATGATGCTTTAACTGATAATTAAATTATCATTTTTTATTTCTCTAACAGTTTAGCTATTGACTGCCTTGGAATAGATCCAAGTTCACAATTCTTCACTCTGCTAAAATGGATGAAGTTGTTATTGGAAGCGTGATCATCTCAGACTACTTTTGGTATGTTTGAAGCATTTTAATTTGTAATTATTATTTCAGACACTTGCATAATCATTTTTGGAATAATTTTAAAATTGCCACAATTCTCCTTAGGGCATTTTGTGTTGTATGGACAACTCCATTAGTAGCCACTTTGGGAATGTCACTCACCATCCCTCGAGTTATGCTGATTCATGGTCCTTATTGTTCAACTATTTACATTTTTAGCTTTGCTATTCCTATTAAATGCTGCCTGATCTTAGGAAGTATCTGCACAGATGCATAGCAATGAGTTCAGCCTCATAATTCATGTTTAATGCTGCCTTTCTAAACTAATTGGTTTATATTTTTTATTGTGGTTGCAATATTTGGAGCTATGGAACATAGCTGCGAATAAGAGTATAATGATTCCAGCTTATGGGAATATAATCCCAGCCTTGGCACAGTCCCCCATTATTGGAATGGTAGCTTCTGCAAGTCATGGGAGCTCTGTTAAGCTATTGAAATAGAAGTCATTAGCTTTGCAGAAATCTGTGAAGCAAGCAATGACATGTGGGTTAGTCGGTACGCAATATCTTTTTTAATCCTACATAAATGTAGTAATTGCTAAATGCGTAATTTGTAGTGCACTTTTTATGATTCTATTTGGTTGAAGGTTTTGAGAATCAAGAAGCAGGTGGAGCAGTTTGTTTGGCAGAACATTTGATAGTAGGACTCCTAATTGGCAATAGATCATGTGTACAGGAATCCAATTCTGATATATATTGTTTGAACTTTTTTTTTTTTGTTTTAATTAATTGCTTTATATAGTATTACTTTTATTTTAGAGTCTTAAATTGTTTTGGCCTGCATGCTAGATACGCGTACCAATAAAAAATGCTTTAAAAGTAAACTTCTAAGATAAATGAACAATCAAGTTTTCTCTATCATCTTCATGATTTGATTTCTCATTCTCTCAATTTATATATATTTCATACAATAAAAAATTACAGAATAAAATAGGGTGAAAAAATAAATAAAAAACATATAATATAGAATAAAAAATAATACTCAGTTCATTTTTCAATATAAGAAGTATTCCTCATCCATGTTATTTGCATAAAATCTACATGATAAATAACTTAAATGATCATGTGTAAAAAATAACAAAAAAAGAAATGCAATAGTAAAATATTTGACCAATTGATTAAAATTTTCAAATGCTGGGAGAATAAAATCATTAATTACGTTTAAAAATAAACCCTTGCCAATCTTCCTTCAAAAAGTTTTTTTATACATAAACACAATAATCATTTAGTTAAAATTATTTGAATAAACAAAATTATGTCTAAAATTTATTTGTTACAAAATAATAACAAAAAAATATTAGACCACTCATCTTCTAATAACATACATAGTAGCAAAAATAAATAATGATTAATTATTATTGCACTCATTAAAAAAATTAATTTGAACGTTTCAAAACTTTTTATTTACCATGATAACTTTAACCAAACTCTTCATTTACCAGAATAAAATTCTAATAAATAAAACAACAAATAAATAATTAAATATACATTTATTAACAAAAAAAAAGCAAAATAATCTATTGTTAAATGCAACTATTCTCTATAAAAAGTCCCACTCTGCAGAGTTGTAGCTTAATTATTATAATAAAGTGATCCTAATCAATCATTAATGACATTAGAAAGAGATACATACACCAAATAACGAGAAAAATCACTGATCATGAAAACTAAAAAGGATCGTTTCATGCATCATTTTACATTTTGATCCACCAATATTAAATTTAAAAAAAAAAAAAAAAAAAAAACGAGAAAAATCACTGAATCATGTCGAAACTAAAAAGGATCGTTTCATGCAATCATTTACATTTTGATCCACAATAATTAAATTTAAAAAAAAATTTAAAAAAAAAAAAAAAAAAAAAATCATAAACGTAAACATTTCAGACTTGATGAGATAAAAAGCGATTAAACGTTGCAACCCAAAAGCCACCCTTCAATTGCAGCCACCAATTTCATTTTTTTTAAACCCAAAAATCCAATTAGAAGTTCATGAAGTTCAGATTTGGTAGTAACTTCTCTTTTTGCTTCTTTTTAATTTATGGATCTATTATATTTCTATTTTTAATTCATTTTGTGTGTTTTATGTGCGATTTTTTTTTTTGTCAGCAATCAAATCATTTTTATTAGATAATAATAATAAAAATGAAAAAACTTACCAAATCCGAGCCAAACTAAACCTAAGCCAGTAAGCTTTCCCTAATACACCCAAAGAACCTAATGCTCAGAATTGATAAGAAAAACTTATACATAGTGAAAACTAGAGAACCTCTCTTAAGGTAAGAGATAAAAACTAGAAGAGAGCAAAACAAAAGTATAAAATCTCTAGAATATTTTAGGTACGACGACCAACATTGTCAAGAAATATGATTTTAGAGGCTGCTTTTAATAAAAAAAAATTAAACTTAATTCATTCCAGAGATGACTATGAATTCATTATTAACTTAAGCAAAAAAATTCCTGTAATTAATTAGTACATGTTCATGCTTTGATGGTTGACTTTGAAATATAACAGGACATACTCATATGAACAAAGTTATATACTTTCTTCTATTTTTAATAGAAAATTTTAGCATCTGCTTATACTTTAAGAAACCTTAAGCTACACGAGATCATAGGTACATAAATCTTAACTAAAAAATTCTCAATATGTATTGTGAACTATACAATAAATTAACGTTCGAATTATCTTCTTAACTTTTTCTTTTGTAAAACTCACACATTTTTTAAAAGTGCAATACCATTCTCTATATTTTGATTTCTTAAATTTTACTGAAAACGCATATCTTACGATTCAAATAAAAAAATTTTTTAATACAGTTACGCAAAGCGCAGGTGATCGCCTAGTATATGTATATATAAAGGAGAACTATTAAGTTTTTGCAAGTGTTGATGTGATACCTTCTTAAGAGAGAGACTCTAATATTTTAGCTTTTGCCTTTATCTTGCTTGAGATATATTTCTTTTCTTAATCACTTTTTTCTCTCTCCCATTTATTATTCAATGATGATTTGCTCTTCATTTTTATTAATTTCAACATTCAATCATGGCATTTGAAGAAATTTAATTGTTTTTTGCTACATTTTTATGAGTTTTGAAATAAAATTTAAAAACAAAAGTTCCATTACTTAAAATCAAACCAAAGCAAATTAGCAACTTGAATCAAAATAAAATGAACAAAACTAATTGATTTTGTAATTCAATTTTCTAATATATGCTTAACCTTGCTTGTATTTAATGTACTATGCAATTTTTTTTTATTCTTATATACATTTAAATTTTTTTTAATTTTATATAAGAATAAGAAATTCTACAAAAAGAACCTCAAAATATCAACGTATTCTAACTATATTACCTAAATCATGATAGGATAAAAGCTTGCATTTTAAATTAACAAGAATGCAGTTATAACATAATCTAACCATTCAATTTGCTAAGTGCATGTAACATCTGATTTATGCATATTTGAAATAATCCAAATTTTTATTTTCAAAGATTTTCATTTAAACTTAATAAACCGACACACCAGAAAATTTACTTAATTAGTTAAATGCAAATTAATAATTTGTTCAGTGATAAACCTAATCGAAAACCAATTGAAAAAAAAATCGAGATTTGGGCTGAATCGAACCGGAATCGAACCGAATCAGCCCAAACCATCTAGAACCTCTTCTTTCCTTTATCTTTAACGCTCAACTCACCTCACTCCCCAAGCCTTGCGCCTCCCGACCACCCACGCAGCACCACCGACATTGCCACAGCTCCACCTCCTCCTCCTCTTTCTTTCTTTTTCCTTCTTTCTTCTTTCTTCTCCCTGCGCCTGCGTCTGTGTCCGCTTCTGCATCTGTGACTGGCGAAGCTCCAAGCAGCAGCGGCGACACCAGCTAGATCGGACCTCCTCGCGCGCCACCTTGCTGCAGCTCGACGTCGCAGCAGCTCCGCCAGTGACTCTGCTCCATCCTCGACCAGGTAGCGCAGTCCCAGTCGTCCTCCAGCCCAATACGCCACTACCAACCCTCTGCCGCCACGCCATAGTCGATCTCCTCCCTCTTTCGCGCCAGTTCCAGGTGGTCCAGCCACTCCAGCCCGACTCCGGCCACCCGCTTGCGGTCCCAGTGCGCGATCCGGCACGCGTAAATCTCGATCTAGCGAAATCCGACAAGAAAAATTATTTTTGGGGTATAAATCAATTTTTGCTGATTCTCAGAATTTATTTTAGTAATTTTGGGTTAACTAATTTAAATTAAAATTAGGTATTGAATTATTGATTAATTAAAATTACTTGATTAATTAAAATTAAATAAATTATTAGGAAATATTCTCAGAATTTATTTTAGTAATTTTGGGTTAACTAATTTAAATTAAAATTAGGTATTGAATTATTGATTAATTAAAATTACTTGATTAATTAAAATTAAATAAATTATTAGGAAATTATGATTTGTGGAATTAAATAAAAATTAATAAGATATTGTTGATACGGAGAATATGGAGGATGGGAATAAATGACTTGGTCGATTGCTGATAGATGGGCTGTGAGAACCTGAAAATAATTGAATGACTTGATTGGTGGATAGTTAATTTTTAAGGAATAGTTAATTTTTAAGGAAAGTGTTGTCGAAATTTCGGTAGAAATTAAATTTTTTATAGAAATTAAATATGTAGGTAAATTATTAGAACATCTAATAAATATTTTATATGATATAATTCTTTTTCGGTGTCATTCTTAAATTTCTTAGATTATCCGGGTCCATTTATTGTTCCATCCGGTCAGAATCAGAGTTAGAGATTCAGTTCCTACCACTGTGAGTAATAATAAATAATACATATCAGTACTGCATTGACATAATATTTATTTTATAAATATTATATATTTATATACTATTTATTTATATTATTATATACTATTACTATATTATTATTATTATGCGAATCTTATAAATATATTATGTAACTATCACGTATAATTATATTTTTATGATTGTGCATTGAAGTGGATTTGGCATAATATGTTGATTGAATTGTTTGATTAATTGTACTGTGAATATGCTGTGCTTTGTTTGTGTGGAATTAGGATAAAGTGGGTGGTTACCAGGGATTTGCAAGGACGGTCTATGTGATATGGATCTTGAATGAAATTATGGAATTATGGAATTTGATCGTCGGCCGGGTATGGGAGATCGGCGCCCCCGTGTGCATCTGATTACATTATATGCATAATATGGAAAAAGAAAAGAGAGATTGGAAAAATAATGAGAGAGCTGGTCAAGTGAGGATTAGACTAGTCGGGTAGGTATGAGGATCGGCTCCCTGGTGCACACGTTTGAGAGGAAGGGCTATGTGAGAGGACGGCTTGTTGGGGTTTCAGGTGGCGCCACTGACTAATTTCCACTTGCTTGATTATTTGAAGGTGATATTATTTGTGGGTGCTAATACTGGGCCATATGATTGACTGGTTGTGTGATCATTCTGATTGACTGGTTGTGTGATCATTCAGTATGTTAGAGTGCATTTCGCGTGAATGTCTGTGGTGTGTATTATTTATTATTATTCACTGAGTTGCAAAACTCATCCCTCTATCTATCCCAACTTCTCAGGTAGTGGGAAGCTGCTGATTTGATTGGAGCTCTGCAATCTTTCTCGCAGAGCCACAAAAGTAAATTCATCAATGTTATTAATAGTTCAATTGTATTATCAAATGTATAAACTATTCCAC